AGAGTTATAACAAACACATAAATGTGCATGTTGGTATGTGTTGGCGTGTGCGTATATGGTTACGTTGGGGGCCCCGTAAGTTGTGGCGGGGTTGGCGAGAAGCATTTCATTTTCACCTGTTATCATCGAATTTAATCCCGTTCATATTTTAGTTTGTTTGAACAAACTTGAAGCGAAATCTTGAATTAATTACGAATAATTCGGAAATTTTGGACGATTTATGATTCATTAGGGAGAGTATGTTTCATTGTGTTATGCAAATCAAATCGACTTAAAATGCAAAATAATTTGTGAACAATGTGAATATGATGCAATGGAATTATACGGAACGCGCATCGATTTATATACGATTTCACTATCGTATCCCAGTCTACATGTTCTCTCCAATTTTGTTTCCAACAGGAAGAAAGAAGAATGACGTAGATGGACAGAGATGCAAAAATTGCAAAAAAAATAAGCCACATTTTTTCAATTATTCGACAGAACAAAAGCGACAGATTCAATAAACATTGAGTCAATACAAATATTTCAAATGCACGATTTTTTTTATCATTCAAATTCATTCGTGTGCATTGACTGCAAATTCAGTGGTTATATTTGTTGTATATTTGCGTTTTATTCGGAGGTTTGTCGATTATTATTATTTTTTGTTGTTGTTTTTATGTGTGTTCACTCTGTGCAAGTTGCAGTTTGATGATGATGATAATGATGAAAATGTGCAATTTTTGTCTCTGGCTTTCCGAAAAGCTGCTGAGAGAAAATGCGTGGTAAAATGTTTGGCGTATATTAGTGTAATTGAAAGTACTTTAGTGCAACTTCGACAGCTTATATGTGTATTAGTATAGACACATATACATAAAAGTACTTTACGAAATAGGCGAACACTCACAGCATAAATGCGATGCGTTCATATTTGCTTTTTTGCTATAAGCATATACATGTATATTTATTGAAGATCCGTAAAGTGCATAAAGCCCGTTGTGCAATGTATTAAAACTGTGCCATTGGTGTTGTTGGTGAGGCTTTTATTGGTGATGTTGTTGCCACAGCACTGCTTTAAGTTAGATTCATCACTTCGAAAACAATCATGCACATGGTGTTTGTATATAGCCACGAGACTTTTCTTCCTCTCTCTCTCTCTCTCTCTCTCTCTCTCTCTCTCTCTCTCTCTCTATCACTGTATGTTATCATATGCAAACTGATGCTGAACTTATGGCATCAAATCCATAGAACGGCAGTAATAGTTTCCGCATCCGCAATTTAAAACTTTTACATTTTTCAGTGAAGCGGATTTCAGTTTTCATACAACAACAAACATTTTGCATGTTGCATCGCGCCCAGATTTGATATTCTTTCATCTTTGAAATGTGTATTGGGAGTAGAAGCAGCTACACCAGCAATTCCATGTGCAAAAGAGATATAGAAAACGGCACAATGACGAAGAGAAAAAACTTCCGAAAATGAGAATAGATCCCGTGCTCATGAGATAGTTACTAAGTTCACCGAATCATTCGGGCGAAAGAGTTAAGTCATAATTCCCTCATGTAAATGTATTTGTAAATTGTGATTTTGTGCACATTCTGCCGTTGGTGCTGCCGATGCTACCGCTATGCATGTGAGTGTGTGTGTGTATCAGATTATATTTTCTGTTTCGCACATGATCAAGCTCTGCATTATTTATGAAAGTGTATAGGAAAGTCAAGTGATGTGGTAAAGTAATTTAATTAATATCACTAGATCAAAACAAAAAAAAAATAACACATAACAGTACCACAATAACAACATTTGTTTGGTGGTAGCACCTAAACATATTATAACCTCAAGGCAAAGAGAAAAATGTTCACTTTGTACAAAAGTGAAACAACAAGTCAAAGTTGAAGGCGTCAACACATCAAAAAAGGAAACATGCAACTTACGAAGATGAATTCTAACTGTGAGCTATGTGACCTTTGCTTTTTTGCTTTTCGAATTTCTCATTCATGTGTGATATTTGCGGATATTTATGTGTATGTTACTCTCGAATGGCAATTGCTTTGATGGAAGAAATGCGCTGCATGTTTATGTGCGGATGGAGGGGGAGACAGGCCAGAAAAATCAACTCGACTCGGGTAATGGATTCTAAGTTGCTACTATGTTGACCATCGTTCTTACTTCTAAACATTACTAGCTTAATCTTATTATTCCGCTCTCGCTCACCAGCTTTCCAGTTTTATTCTCTCTCTCTCACACACACACACACACACACTGTCTCTCACTCTCGGATCAAATGTGTTGATCCAGTGATGCAAGCGTTAAACGAAAGATTATGTAACATGAAATATTTTTAATGTGTTAAAGTTTTCATGACGTAAATATAAAGCTCAAAGTAATGCGAATTATGGGTTCATTCAAATGACGTGATGCAGCTGTGGATGGCATATGAATACACATACATTTTGTATACAATATACCGACTTTTTGCCCTACTTTTTGATTTTGTCTTCCATTGTTTTGCCTGCGATGAAAATTGTAAACTATTTTGCTGACTGATTTATTTCCGACCAACAATAGCAGCGGTTGCACGTTTCCGCTTTTCAACATTTAAACCATTTCGCGACGAAGATATTTCACAGGCATTTTCACCGTCTGGTAATCTCGAAAATTAAGTTCAGCCCGTTGTGAGAGTGAAAGAGAGATAATATGAGAATGGGAGAAAAATTCAAACGATTTATTTATGCCATTTCACAGGTGACAGCATGCATTTTACATAAGAATGTGGCAAGTTAAACAAAAGCATGTCGCAAAATCGCGTGCCTAAGTGAAACGATCTTCAGAGGAACAGAGAGAGAGAGAGATATTGAAATGCTCAGAATGCGAGAGAAAAAGGCTCGATTTGAGTGTTGTGTCTGTCACTTCAGTTGAAATTCCTTTTCTTTCGTCTAATTTCCTCATTTTCGATGTATGACGTTTCACAATCACATTTAATTCATATTTAATGCAACATTTATGTCGACCGTATTAATAGCTCATCGCACAACATATACACATTCCAGCCCCCACATACATGAACTCGTTGATAGAACAATTTTTCGAAAACTTATTCCACGAAAAAAAAAAAACAAATTTGTTCATATCATGCAATGAAATTTGGTGTCACTCATTTTGTGTGGCTGCCATTGTATTTTTTGGCATATAAATATAATTTAATAAAGCGCAAGCGGAGCAAGTATGGAGAAAAGTTTGATGTGCCAATATTGCAGCCGACGCGAATGTTGATTCGCATGCAAAGAGAGGCCAAAGAAACACATAAAGAACAACAACAACAACTAAAAAGGCAGTTTGTATGTCAGTATGCTCTCCACTCTCTGGTTTTTCTTTCTCTCACTTACTCACTCATCGCAAAAGCTTCTGCATTTTGTTTGTGTTTCGGAACAATTTCTCTCTCTCTTTCTCTCTATAATTTTATATGCTCTTACTGAACATGACTTTCAGGAAATATTGCTCTCAATTTTGCAAGCAACTTTCAAACAAATAATTGAATCGTGTTGACTGTCCATCATTCCATCCATCGTAACAACCTTTAAAAAAATTGTATGCAATCGACACACATATATATATATTGATAGTAACATTTTGCCATTAAACAAGCTATCTTCTATGCAGCACACGAACAACGATACTTTATAAATGAATAAAAAATTCACAAAAAAAGAAGCAATTATTTCAAATAGTCATAGCTTCTGGAGTCTGCGATCCACGGGAGGGGTAATTTCAAAATTTTCCTAAAATGTAAAGGCAAAACTTTTTCGATGCATTTTTGAAAAGTTCATTCCTATGGGGCGGTGTCTCAGAGCATTTGCCTCGAGAAACCCTACCAAATTGAAAGATTTTTCTCTTCGCCCAAAAACTCTAGCAAATTGAAAGATTTTCTTCTCCAAAAACCCCAGCAAAATTGAATATTTTCTCCCGTTTTAGAAAGTGAAGAGCAAAAAAAAAGGTCTTCACATTTTTCGCGAAAATCCTTAGCAAAAAATATTTTTCTCAAAAAAATGAAATTTCTAAGGGGGTTATTCCCAAATCTGTTCTGCAGGGGGGGTAATCCAACCCCTCGGACCCCTGCTCAGAAGCTATGCGAATAGTAGAGAAGAATAAAAAATAATAACCAAAACTGAAGCATATTAAATGCTGCTTCTATTGAATACTCACAAAACGAAAATGGATTCCAATTTATGAAATTGTTTGGTAAATAAAATTTACGTTATTTAATATTTATTTAGGTATTTATAATCGTATGATAATATTTAATTTCCTTTTCATAAACATTGCGTTCGATTTTGATTCGATATTAATCTGTCGCACAAAAGTGAAATCCATTTATAAATTCGCAAGATAGATGTATTTGGAAAAAAGAGTCGTCGGAGAAATTTCGAAAAATGGAGTTGATGTTGAATATACTATTATGCACTTTGATGCTTTTGTAAAGCTTCTTAAAGTCAGTTTTTATTCTTCATTGCTGTAAGTATCTCATTTTGTTTCATTTTAATTCCGAGAATGAAACACTTCAAATCAAATGGCATCAGACAGTTTTTATCACGCAAGGCATACAGTTTCGTTAAACACTGTAAAAATACAACTATTGGGTATATCGTCCATGCCATGAAGAACAATGGTGTAGATATATCTGAATGCGGATATAAAATAGGTACGCTTGCGCCCGAATCTGCAAGCGTTCCTCACCCCAGGGGTAAAATAACCCCGAAAAACACTGAATTTGGGATAATACGCCATTTTACCTTTGAGCTGAGGAATATAAATTGACTGTTAGCAATTCTATGAAGATTTTCATTGATTTGTGTTGAAAATTTTTACTTGGTCGTACACATTGGGTCCAGCAAACAAAGTTTTAAAATATATCACGCGGTTGAATTGATTCATATTGATTTTTATTTTTTGGCGATAGCAACGTTAATTCTCAAAAAATATTATTGTGATGGATATTGCAAAATTTGAATGAAACTTACCTCTATGACGGTTTGTTTGTTTATCAAACATCAGCATTGCGTCCTCAATCTGAAATCGAAAAAAAAAGAAAAACGGAAATTAACAAGGGAATATTGTAAACGATAGGTGCATATTTTTTCTTTAAAGTTCCGCTATAGACTGAAACTCTTTCAATTATCATTGAAATTCAAGAATGTAAAAGAAAATATATTGGAAGATTACTCTTTCAATGTAAAATTCAAATATTTCAGCGCATTTTTATGTATTATAAAATAAGAACTCGAGAAAATGAAGAGCTCATGTCGACATTTTTTACATTTTAATTTAATTATACAATTACATGACACGTTTACAAAAATCAGTACCGGATGAAAAAGAAAAAAATGCGTTCTTTTGCAAAATATGCAACGGCTTTTGAAAATGATGATTTTGACATGACAGTGGAAGTGGCATTCATTAGTACCTTAGAAAATGAAGACTTGAATCAGAAAAGAAATGCATCGCAACTTACAAAAATAAATTCAGGTCATAATAAAAGATGAAGACAGAAACTAAAGACGACAACACTGAATCCATTCAGTAAATGAAAAAAAGTGTTGAACATAAAACGAGTGGTAGCGGTGGTGTTTATAATGGTGGTAGGAGAGAACCTTGAGTCGCAATCATAAAAATGGATCGAAAATGTTAATGTTAAATTTATATTTTTCGCCAGAATGCTGATGATGCATTTCGCTAATGGCTATCATTCTACTTTTCATTTCCACAATATTACCACTAATCCGATGAGTATTATCTTCGTTCCGTGTTCATAATATTGTAGCTATTTCTTTTTTGCTTGTTATTTGTTCATACTGGAATTGTGACTACAATAACTCTTATTTATAATGTTTGCATTATGAATACGAATGGAATTGTGCGACATGGTGAACAATGCGATGTTAATGTTTGTTGCTCATTTTTAGTTTTCGGTTTATTTTACGCCACTTTTTTCCCTCCTTATTATTTCAACTGGTATTTCAAATTCGTGAAACAAACGAAAGAAGAATGTTTTAGTGCGTAACCTTTTCTTTTTATATTGTCATTATGCTTACGTACATGGGCAGAGGGAGGGTGTAAGGCTGGATAACCCTCCCAGGCCGAGATTTGAGACGTATTCTTTCGATTTGCTGGAGATTGCTGGTGTCCCTCCAACTTTCCCACCATGGCCATGTACACTATGAATTGTTCATATTCAATTTCCGCCCAGTGGCAAACATGGCGATCGCACGAGAGAAAAATAGACAGTGATGAAGAGCGAGTGAAAAAAAAATGCAATCGGTTGACAAACTAGAAATAGCATACGGACCAAGGAAAGAAATGTGTATTGTCGAAAACAATTCCGAAATTGAACGACGTGATGACAAAATCAACGACAACTTCAGATGAATGGACTTGTAGTAATCCAACCATACGAAACTTGAAACATTCATGCAATTTGGTTGAGTTTACTTTTTCATTTCTACTTTCATTTTCATGAGACAAAAATAATTTCTCTTGATGAAGTGTAAAGCAAACAATCCAAACAACGTTACATAGCATCATAGTGTCTCAGTGTTGATAACTTTTTCTTCGACTTGATAAAACATTGACTGATACTTTTTCTCTTGCTCTCTCTCTCTCTCTCTTTGCATCATTTTCGGTTGTGTCGCTCTTTGTTATCGTTGTCTCTTTTGCGGATCCATTTGATATGACGAACATGTTGTGCACACTGCACATATTAAATAAAAACAACCGAAATAATTTCTTGCGGCTCGGAAAATATTAAATGTGTCATTACACTTTTTTTCTTAGTCTCTTTGTTAGTTATTCACACGGTGCTATTCTGATGCCATGCTCACACACACACACACCCTGAAACATATGCGATATACGTTTATTCGAGTTTTACCGTTATTCTCAATTTGACTGAAAAATCATAAAAAAATTACACATATTTTTCCTTTTTGTTACGTGCACGCTCTTTTTATGTTCACATTGAAGTTTAAATATATATGCGAAAATATCGTCACATAAATCTACAAGTGATAGTAAAAATCCAGCAAAATAAAATGTCAACAATGAATTTTGTGCGCTGCATATGTGACAAATATAAAACCTATTCCACTCGCTGAATAATCTCAAAAAAAGAAGAAAAGACAAATAACAATGTAGCTAAATTAACATAAAAAGCATTTAAGAGTCATTATTTTTAAATTTAAATAAATATATGCGCTAACAAAGAGCGGACAAACAAGGAGCGAGATAACGTATCCATCAAATGGAACGTAACCATACTTAGAGCGTGGATAAATAGATGCAACACCATAAAATGACGTCTTGGTGGTTTTATGCAAGAATTAATAGTACTCAGATGTACGATTTATAAGGCAGCTCGACCCATTGTCACCCAAATTGCCGATGGTTCAAAAAACTCCGGGCTTTTTTCTCTCTCTCCAGGTTCAACAAACACTTTGTATAGCCACTTTCATTCCAAAACATATATTATCATCAAGCTAAATTCATAGAGGTGTATGTGTGACAGAGAGAAATTAGATAACGGCCACCAACATTATGGAATCAAGTGATTTTATTGCCCCACCAAAAAAGCATAAAAGATATCGTTAATGCCAAAATTACGGAATGAGGACATTAGAAACAGCTGTGCATCGTGAGAAATAATATGTCATCCCCATTCCTTCGGTCATTGGTTTATCTAAATCCAAGCAAGTATACAACAAACAAGCAAACAAATGTCTCAAACAAAATATTGAACATAATAAATTCAATATTAAATCGAACTATGGTAGCATATATGATTGCAAAAAAGTATTTTATTGTTAGTTTGATGCAAGAAAAAGAAAACACAATTGAAAAATGTAAAACAAACTTTGTTTTACAATAGAAAAAGATTTGTTCGTCGTTTTCAGAACAAGAAAAGAACACAAAGACAATCTCTATGTTACACGTGTAACTTGTCACGGTATGAAAAATCATATCAAATCATGTTGAAGAAACACATAAATATGAAAAATGGGACAAGAAGTGGCTAATACACATGAATGGTTGGAATACAAAAAGAAAGAGGTGGAGAAAAAAATTTATAACAACCGAAATTGGGTTTTTCTTTTTGAATTCGTGCTGGGCACTTGAAATTCAGTTTTTTTGTGCTATTGTATTTCCAAGAAAAGAAGCTGAGCTTTAGAGTTGTGGCCATGAAAAGTATACTTTTATTTCAAATAGGGTACGGTAATGATAAGTTGTATATAAATGGTATTTGAAATGTGCCATCTGCTGAAATAAAAAAAAATTCAAAATAAACTCGTTCTCAATAGCTCATTTCACAAAGGTAGAGATTTATGTGTTGTTCAAAAGTTAATTTTCAAAAGTTCTCAACTGTGATTTTTAAAGAACGAAATTTTCGTGCAATATTTTTCATTTTTTCGGGTGTAAAGTCTCATTCATTGAAATTGAGAGCCAAAAATTCGTTGCCATTTCATTAAATAGCCAAATCGATTTGAAAATGATATGAATCTGAAAACAAAGTTTTTATGGGTTTTTTTTTCAAGTGTTATAAATCCAAAAAAAAAAAAATCAAAACATTTCTTCTGTTACTTTTGTTCTTTTTTTTCCAATTTTCCCCTTTATCAAATTGAATTGATCTTTCCCGCACACTTTCTCTCAACTGATAATCTAACATTTTTGTCTCTCGTGGATTTTTCTTCATTGGATGGACGGGGGAAAACAGGAAGAAAAACATCAGTTTGATTTGGAATCGACATTGCACGAAATCGCCAACATGACAAATCGCATTGAATGAATGAAATCAAACAAAAGATGAACAGAATTACTCTTGACCCAAGTTTCAAAAACATGGAATCTTTGCAAATATTTCAACTTGTTCGATTAGTTAGGTTCACAATGGCTGTACGACGAGAAAACTTTTCTATATATTCTATACAAACATACTGGATTTTAGACAGATACACACACACACACGCAAACATACATCGATTGGGACGAAGAGAGCGTTGAAAATGAAATCAAATATTTTGTTCAAGATTATGACTCACATCAGTTGTCGAAGTGTATGTATTTGTGATTGTTCGAAAAGCGAGTATCAGAGGAAATGAAAAAAATGAGAATGAAACAGAAAAAAAAATATATAAGACAATATAAGACTCAAGAGTGCCATTTAAAAGGTCGTTTTGCCTCTGGCGGCTACTTCCAAATAGAACCAGTGTATGCAGTGAACAAGTGAATCAAACGTGCAAGGTTTCGTTTCAAGCGGTATGTTTGATGCGATGTGGTAGCTACAATGAGAACAGTCAATCGCCATATCATCATCTTTTCTTTCTTTTTTTTTAAAGTGTGTACAGCACCAATACACATTTATCATCCATATCAAATGGATTGTACCTCAATTCTTATCCCTATCACTCTTTGCTCGGTGATCTCTCACCGTCTTAAAGTGTTCTGTTTTGGTTTAACACAAATATTTGCTTGGAATTGTTATGAAATTCAATTGTTTTCATGTTTGGCATTTCTACCTATGTGCTCGTCTTTGTTGTTCTTCTTGTAAATGTTTGATGCGTAGAACGATTACTCTCACGGGAAAATCCCTTTTACAGCATATCGATGGATTTTCATCCAATTTCTGTCTTTTCGGTTAAAGTGTGTGTGTGTGTGTGTGTGCGTCAAAACTTGCCAAAAAGTATCAATTTCTTGTGTATTTCTTTGGCATATTGTGCGATTCTCAATTTCTTATATTTCGTAGCCATTTGTAGTAAGTTTCTTTTTTTGGTGCTTTTTACTTAAGTGCGTATCATGTTTCGTTTTCAATTTGTAATCAAATTATTTTACACATGCAAATACATATCAACATTGAAATCGCGACTGTATTCATTTCGTTCAAATTCACTGTGATCAATGTGACCACCGCAAAAACGAACATCGATATCTTTTGTATATTTTTTCGATAATGCATCACATTCGTGAGAAAACACCACTTAAAATGAAAAAAAAGGCGGAATATTCAATTTCATCAAGTTTTT